CTTCTCACTTATAACAAATTAGTGTTGGAAGCATGTGATCATTATCAACACAGTTTTTAATTTGTTTGAATGGTTGATGTTCCCATCTACTACTTTTCTACTATTTGAATAGTTGGGATAAGACTTCAACCATTCATTTTCCATACTTATCATTATGAATGCTTGCTTTATCATTTGTATTCTTTTCATAAAACCGTTTGGATGCTTTTGTCTTACTTAAATCTATTCCATGTTTTCTCTAGTTATAGTTTTATTGATGCTTTTGTCATCCGGTTCGACCCCGGTTTGACCCCGGTCGAACCATCAAACCTCTAACCCCTCCTTCCGGTTCATTGACCGGTCCGATTTTAAAAGAAATTATTTTAAAATTATGCTTACATAATTTTAATCAGAACGCCTAATTTATGCCGCTGTACATGAATCCTTAGATTAATTTTAAGATAAAAATTATACCATTAATCAAACACGATTTACATTACATCCATTTAAAAAGTAAATTTATTGACTATAAAACTCTTCTTAATAAAATTTTGATCTATTGATATTTAATTTTATAAAGATCAAAGTTAGACGCAAAATAGAGACCTTTATATTGAAACAAAGAAAGTTAAAAGTTTAGGATAATTAAAATAAGAACACAAACATATAGATATGACATAACTATAAAAAAGAGGATATAGCAAACTAATTAAAATTGTCTGAGTTACCTTTATTTTCAATATTTAGAAAGCTTAATTAGTTATTAGCAACACAACCAAATTAATATTAATTATTAGACATAATTTTATCAATTGTAGCGTTGTGTTTGTGATCATTTGTGTTGATACATATCCTAGACTCTTAGTCATGTTGGGAAATGTACACGCATGATATGCTCTAAAAACACACTCCATGCAAATTTTAATTAGTTTGAACGTACTAGAAAGTAAAATCATGCAACCAAAAACAAACAAGTAAAAGAAAGCAGCGAAAAAGTATACAAGGATTTAATGTGGAAAATTTTAAAAACTAGAAAAAATCACAAGGCCGCACCACACAAAAAAAAATACTAAGAAAATTAGGAGAAGTTGTATAGATATCTATTCTCAATCTTTCTCTTGTCTCTATACAGTTCACATTGTATCTCATTAAAATAGATAAGAGGCACACTTAAAAACATTCAAAGGACATAGCCCTTCAAGTGAATATGAAGAAAATGAAAGAAAAACTGCTTAGCCTGACTCGCATTAATGCAGCGCGGTTGGAGCTGGAGAGTCGCCGTACTTCACTCTCTATCTCCAGCCTATGCCTGATGGGGCACGATGGTGTACAGACATATATATATATTATATGTGTGTGTGTGTTTGTACGTGTGTGTTTTAGAATTTTATATGATCTTCCATTTTGATTTTACTTAACATATAAATTATTTTATTATTTATTAATGCTCATTATTTAATACATTAACTTTCTTTTTATTTTTTATCCTACGACAATGGTTAAAACACCTACTATGTTAGTAGCGGCGGTTTACAAATTGCCGCACATTTGCCATATTTATTATCGTTGCAAACGACTTCCACATCACTCCTTAAATCATTCTATTAGATCTAGTTTATGGCAGTGGTTGTTTTGGTCGCGATAATAACTGCTATAAATCTGTTGCGTTACAACAGTAAGACAAAGTCCCAATTTTAATTCTTAGGATCTTCAATGAAAAAATGGGCTCAAGTTGTGATGAGAAAATAAATGGATCTTCTACCATCTATCACCTATATGTATTAAGAATGAAAAGTCAACCAATGTATTTTTGTAATAATCTACTTTGGTGCCAGCTAAAGTTGTGTTAGCCCAATCACACTTGAACAAGACCACACGAAATAAGTCAAAAAAATTAAGTTCAATAATATTATTCAGTCGACCATAATAATAAAAGTTTTTAACTTCAGTTTTGTTAACAATGCCATGATTTTGTGTTTTTTTGTTCTCATCACGAGCTTTTGTATGAAATTAATACACATTAACAAAAAATCATTTAAATCTTTGTGTAATTAGCTTAGGACTAATCGTGAGGGCTCTTATTTCTTCTGAAACTACTATATCATCTATACATGTAATCTACACAAAAATTATTAGTCAAATTAAGCATATGAATTTTTTGGGCTTTATATTATGCATCAAACTTGACTAAGTAATGTGAGGTTTTGATCTATTATTGTTCGTTTTAATCAATCATGAAAATTTTTGCTAACAAGTTCACCAAGAGCTAATGGCATTAGAGGAAAGTTGTTGGCTCTTTTTTATCTCTCTTCTTCCTTGTAAAGACCAATATTCTTTGCTAGATGATCACAATGTCTGAGCACATATCTATGACCTTGCATTAATGATAGGTCGTCTAACACACATATAGACTCTTGACTGAAAGGTTTACCAACAGTTAAGAACTTTTAGGAAGCATCATCATCCTTTATGAAATTCTAGTAGATATAGACTTGGACAAAGTCTGCGCACCATTCAGATATTTTGAACAAAATGAAATTCTCTCTTCAACGATGTATTGCTTAGCAATTGACCCTTATGGTTGTGACTTGTTGCCAACAAAATCCTATTATACTAAGAAAAATCTTTAAATTATGAAAATGTACATGAATATTTCTCACAAAGTAATAACACATTTAAGCAATGAGAAAGAAATATTATCTCTGAAAAGGGTGCATCCATTTATAATGTACAAGCTTTCCAAGTTTCACTTTATCAACCAAATGGATGAGCAAGTGGACCATAATAGTGAAGAATGATGCGAGAAAATACTTCTCCTTAGTCAATTTAATTTCCTTCTGTTTCTTGTCAAGTTCAATTAGTTTTATAGCCTTTGTGCATATGAACTTTAAGAAATGTGAAATCCCAACAATAATGGTCATTAATACATTTGATGGTGCAGACGATATTAATGCGACATGCATAATATCCTCAATTAGTACATGATCATTTTCTTCATGTTCAAACGATCAATAATGATTGATATTTTTCTTCCCTTAGAAGGATATATCTATTATTGTCGTAACTCTGATTATTATTATCCAAATTATCATAGTTAAATATTTGATTGAACAATCATTTTTACCCTCCGGGGTCATATGTAGTTCTTTGTTGAATTTAACTATGATAATCATGATGGATTTTTTATCCTATAAATTAAACCCAATAGGAATGGTATGTTTGCCTTCTGAGAAGATATAACGTTCATAATGATGTGTTCAATTTCAAAATTGAAATTCCAGAAGTTAAACTCTCCCAAAGATAATTAACCTTTTAAAAAAATAACTTTTCAAACAAACTATTAGAAATAGGCGTAATAAGCAAGCTGCACGTGACCGCGAGCAGACGCAGTTCTTGCCCACGGGCGGAGGCACGCAAGGAGCATAGCTGAAGTGTGTGAAGCGCTGTACAGATGAGTGTGACGCTGATCTAGCATCAAAATCGAGCATTAGGCTCGATATCGGATTGGTGGCTCATGCAAAGTTGCATGTCGAAACACGTGCAGGTGTTCAGGGAAGTCAGGCGACCCGGAGGGTACTTGGTGCTAGAGCATGGGCATGAAGTACAAGAGAAGAAGTGTCGGCATGAAGTTGCATAAGGAACGAGGGTGCGAATCACAAGAGGAACAACAACAAGAACAACCGCGTGTGGTTTGGAACACACGGGAACACGAGCTGGGTCATGGATTGGAATGCACAATGGAGATCGGGTGAGAGCTGGATGGGGATCGGCTCAATGGGTTTGCTCATGGAGTTAATGCATGGAGCCGATCGGATCGTAACAGATGCTTGTTCAAGAAAGAAGGAAGATGAGAAGCATGCCATCACATGAAGACTTTTCTTAATGGAAGTAGGTGGAACAGTGGTTCTCGGTCAATGAACGAATGCATGAAGATCTGCTGCAAGGTGGAGCTAGGTGTGGATACCAAGAGGTGACAAGTGGAAAGGAGAGCCATGTGGTGTTGCTGCTGCAAGTAAAGGCACCCAGCAAGGAAGGCTTTTCTTTGATTGTAAAATCTGGACCAATGTGATGATTGTTAGGTTTTGGTCTGATTTTAAGTTAGTTGCTCTTTAGGATCATGTTGTCTTTGTAGTTTCATTCTTCTATAAATAGAAGAGGTTGTAATAGTGATTGGAAGGCCAACTGAAGAGGAATAAAGAAAATTCCTTGTGGTGCTTTCTCTCCCTCTCTTCCCCTTCCCTCCCTATCATCCAAAAAGAGCTTTCTTCCTAAAATTTTTAACATACATTATTCTTGTAAACAGACCTCTTTCGGTCCTTCAACATTCTTTAATTGCTCTATTAGTCAAAATTCTTTCTATTGATTTTTTTAATAAAGTTGTTAGATGGTGATATTGTTCTAGTAAAACACTTGACCATCTCTTTTAAGCTCTCAGCAAGTAATTCTCTATTAGAATATGATTTTTGGGTGTATTTATCTTACCTATTCTATATATTTATAAATAAATAACTAAAAACTAACAATCACATAAAAAATTAAGGACTAATCAAACTAATATCAATCCGATTATTCATTAATAGAAAACTAAGAGAAAAATTATAGATGTTGTCTAAAATGATTGCATAAAAAATAACACAAAAAATAAAATATGATAACAACAAGAGTGATCACAACTCGTCACTTTTAGTGAAGCAAATTCTTTGTACAATTTTAACAAGGATGGTAGGTCGGTGACAAGTAATGAGCAGGTGCTTTCACAGATATGCAACATGAAGAATCATCGAGAGCGAAATATACGAAATAACTCTTGGTAAATATGAATAAAAGGGGTGTGAAGATTTCCATTTATGTATATCTTAAGAGGAAGAGGAATAAAAAAGGAGTGAGATATATGATTAGAATTTAAGCTATTGGTAGTATTAAGATTAAATGTGGGAAAAATCATAAATCATATATGCCTTTTTTATTAGTAATATAAATATAGATAAGGCTTTTGATGCATATATGTAATTCCATTTTGAAGGACCGTGAAAAAAAGGCGGAGCTATTTTTTCCCAGCCGCCGAGAGGGAGTTTGAAGAACCATGGACGACGGCAATTGTGCTCAAACGAGTACGACATTCGAGTCGGAAAATTCTGCCGTCGGAATGTCACAGGAAGAGTGTACGAAGCGGATAGTGAAAAGCCTCAAGCGTTAGTATTGCTTCTGCTTTCATATTTTCTCTCTTTGCCATGTTATCATGATCAAGCTTGCTTTGTCTTTGATTTTGATCTGCTTTCTTATTTGCATGATTTCTTCCAGATCCAACTGTAAGGTTTTTGCGGAAGCACATGGAGCAGGCGGGATGCCCGGTGTGGGTGAAGCTAATCTTGGCGGCCAATTGCAAGAGAAAGGGAATCGCCGGAGGCTATTCCACTGGTAATGGGGTAATGAATTTCACTCATTTAGTCTTCTAGTACTATAGCATGTTTTAACAAGGGCTTTGGGTTGTGCAAAGCTACCAACTTTGCACTTCTCGACCTACTTGACATTCCTACTAGGTCATCTTGGTGAAAACACGAGGGCTTATTGTTTTGGATTTGTTATTCTATTATACATGTCTCCACCCGTGGGGTTTTGATTTCCTAGTCAAACACTTTTTCTGTTTAAACCCGTGGAGTTAAATCAAGTGTGCTGTTTTTCTTATGGGTACAACTAGGAATGTGTCATGATCTCAGTAATGGAATTCTAGTTACTGGAATTCCATTCCTGAGATCATGACACATTCTTAGTTATATATATATCTTATGTATATTGGAACTATGCAAAAAGATTGCTTGAATCATAAGGGATTGTTTGGCTTACAATAGAGGTTGGAAATGGATGGGGATAATTATAGGATTGTAGTAGTTTGAAGGAGAATGGTTATGATGATGGTGCGTGGTTGGATTGTGGATGCAAGCCCCAAAACCGAGAGCTTTTAAGTTTATGATAATGGAATTTGTAAGCAAATCCAAGCACTCCTAGTCTTGCCTCACTGGATGGTTGTGAAGATGATTGAGGAAGGATGTAATGGATGATGAAGTGAATGGAGGGGAATGTTTATTTAGTAAGAATAAGGAAGATAAATAGGATAATTCACTTGCTTTACCCCAAAGAAGCAATGTAGGTGAAAGCCACTAAGAAAATCAGTTAACTATGGAATTTGGCTACCAAGGCAAATTATTACAGAAAGAAAAATTACAACATTGATTTTCAAATCCTAGTTATCAACTAGGACTTGAATCTTGTGATTTGTCCCTTCATTACTTCTTGTGCTACATCATAAAATAGATTGAAAAACCGAATGGGTTCATTTGGTTTCAGTTTGGTTTTTTACCGAATAATAAAAAGGTTTAGTTTTCATTTGGGAAGTCAATTCAATATGTGATATACACATTTATTGTTTTGTTGTTACCAAAAATGAAGAGTTGGTCTTAAATTTATTACTTATAAGAAAATATCAGACTTCTAAGCTTTATTAGTGTAAATCAAATATTTTAAACCAATTTTTTTTCTAGTTAAGCTCCTCCGATAAGGTTAAAAACTAATACGAACGATCTTCAACCTTAATTTGGTTTTGATTTGCTATTTCATTTAGTATGAAATTATGAACAGGTTGGAACCTTAAACAACCACATGACAGTTTGTGATTTTATTGTCATGGATTGGAGAGCATGATAATCAACTTACAAGCTTCAAATTTGAGTGTCATGTGCTAATTGTTCATATATTGCATATGCAACTTACACACACATGGCATGTTACTGCTAATTGTGTTTTTCTAACATCTGCGGACTAAGCACATATAATATGTGTAAATTTTCATAGGATTGAATTTAAAGTTAGTTTCCTTTCATCTCTAAGCATTTTCCATCATAAAAGTTGTTGTGTAGCCCACTGAGGCATGAATATTTAGTTACAAATCTATTCCTGTTGCTTCCTCTGTCTTCTCTTATTATTGGTGTAATGGTCCTTGCCCGAGTATGACTTTTCTCTTCTCACTTCTATTGCATCTAGTGGTATTAGGATAGGAATTATCCTATTCTTTGAACATGATGGAAAGCTTTTGGACTTTCAAAGAGAGAACATCAATCAATATGTTTATTGGGGTTATTGTCCACAAAATGAAGGTATATATCTTCAGTTCAAATAGGTCAAGTACATTGAGGTAGATATTTATGAGGTAAGCATGATTGGTGAATACCAGTAGTTTTCAGATACTAATGGATACAACCACCATCAATCATCAATGTAATAGGGACTTTACTCTTGGAATAAAAAAGAGTCTATGGCCACTAGAGGAAAATGGATCATTTTTCAAGGCAATAAAGAAAGAATGTTTGCCATACTTGTAGACAATCTTTCTTTTTAAAGCACCAAATGTTGGTTTTTAGTGTTCCCCAGAATCGTGAAACTTATAGGGGAATTAGCAGAAGGCATTCGATTGGGATATTTATTGTTATTGGCAGATTTTTATTTTTTATTTTTTAGGAAAAAACTGCTGATAGTTTATTGATAATCTTCCGCCAAAAAAATGTTAGTAAGCTAGAAGTATCAATGATTTTTTTGTATTATTTATATTGGTGAATTCCAGTGGACTTCTAATGATATTGAATACCCGTATATTTTCCACTTGTAAGTTGTAATTTTACAATAAAACTAAAGTTACTAAAAGTTTATATATTGTTAAAATTTTCTTAGCTATTTTAAATCCTAGTCGTTCTAACTTTATAATGACTGCTAGAAGATATGCGAGGAAAATCACTATTATCATAAATAAATATGTATATCTATGTTTGGGTGTGTGAGGAGGGTGAGAGAGAGAGAGTGATGTGTTAATATGATATTTAATATTATTAGCCATTGGAAATGTTTCCTAATTGAAGAGGGAAGATTGAGGCGGTGGGCTCCGAAAATTCGGCCCCGGCCTCTGCCCGCTTGCTTTTTTTCGGGGGGAGTTTTAACGGAATTAGGTTATGGGATAAATTTTGGAAGACAGATGAGTTTGTAAATAAGACACTACCTAGAGATTTCGCCCTCATTTTGCGAGGACTTTATGATCTGAGTTTTGCTTTCCTATAGACGCAAGCCCCTATAGTTAACTACTTCTCCCGATCACGAGAGAAAACTTTTGATTAAGGCTAGTCATCAATCAGATACGTTGTATCTATAGATACGTAGTATCAGGCGTATAGTACAGGATAGGCTTGGATGCTTGGAAATGGTTGAGAATTTAAAGATTTGATATTTTAAATTGAAAATTTCACCATCTTGCACTTAAAGCGAATGATGGGGGAGTAGATGATGGACCCGATCAAGATCCCATGGTTCCGTCGTCTCGGGCCATCGTGGTCCCTGGTCTACTTAGTCATAGGAGGTAGTCAACCTAACCTGACAGAATGATACTTATCGGAAATCATGGGTTGCTTTGTCCAATAGTACCTTGTAGACCTAGGGTGGATGTTTGTCTAAGGGGACAAATTTAAATCTACCTTAGCTAACATAGGACTTTATGTCCTAATGATCATATCCTATTAATTTATATATCAAAGATTTGATGATACTAAGGAACGTATTGACTCTGGCCAAAACTGCTATCTCGTGGTGTCATTTGGCGGCAAAATCACTCAGTTCAGAGGACCCCGGGTCAAAACCGTTTATCCTGCGGTGCTATTTGACAGCAAAATCGTCGGTTAGATAACACATACCACGTCTTTATTGGCATGAGATTATTTGAGAATGGATCCTATTGATATTTTCGACCAGGCATTAGCTCCATGTGAGTTGAAGTAAATTTCATTTTATCCACCTCAGCAAACTGTTATAGATGGTGGATGAATTTTTGCTTTAAGTTATCGGATGGATGATTTCAATTTTAAATATCTAGATTTTCTTTTTGGATTCTTTGGAGCTTTGAATTTCGTAGGTATTTGGGTGGCATTTTGAATTATTTAGAGTGGACCCCTCCGGTTGAGATTTACATTCAACGAGACCATCATCGGGGTATATGGGGCCATTCTTTGACTAAACCTTGTCTACTCTATCGGGCTGTCGACAGAGGATCAGGTTTCATAGGTTTTATGCGTTTGTGAATGAATTTTCTTTGTTGAAGGCCTTATATGAACGTATAAAATAGATATTCCGGTCGACGCCCTGACCGTATATCTGTTTGATAATTCGAGCCGCGTCGATTACTATATATTCATATAGGAGGATCAAGCTCAAATTATGTTCATTTTTGAACCTGCGCAGCATCTCTAGATGTCATGTATATACCAATAACATGCTCGCCAGGGCCCATGCGGGTTTTGTGATTGCACTTGTCCTTATGTGTACCTATGTGTATACATATTACGGTGTATGTGCAGGGATATTTTGGACATTTAATAGTTCTACAACATCCTGTAGAAGCTCGTATTTGATGTAGTTCTTCAGTATTTATCCATAGGTGATATGTTAAATGCACAATGGGTTTCCCACAATGGTCTGTAGGAACTGGTGTACATTGTGTATCCTCCACCTTTGAGTTATGTGTTATTATTAGTGTAAGCTTATGGGACCACTTGTCCATCAAGAAACTTGCAAGCCTCAATAATCTTATCCATCCCAATTCCAGAACTCGGTTGAACTGGGACTTGCTCACCGAATCTTTGAAGATACTGATTTGATTTGGCTTTCTCTTCTCAGAACTCATATAGAAATTTGTAGACAACACCTGATGCCTTGTACCTTGAAGTTGATGGCCAGTGTCTTAAACTAACAATCGCGGCAATCGAAGATACTTCGAACCATCTAAGATAGTTGTGGGAGGTACTCATTCCTAAAATAATTGTTGCAGTCTTTGAGATGAATAGCATGTATATTTTCCATATGTAATTGTGAGTTTAGGTCACAAAACTCTGCACTAATCTTTGATAACACATTTGTCAAATAGTGATCATTAGCTCCAGTGGGCATGATAAGTCCCTTACGTCAGTTTGTAGGTATTTGTATTTACTGCATGTCATCTTCCTTTGCTTGCAATGGATCGACGTATTTGCTGACCATTTGAATGGTAGTTGATCGTAGGAGGTTGCAATATCTACTACATGCTACTGATCATCACTCGTAGTTATATCATTATATCGTTGTTAATGGGCATCTATGCTTGCCACAATATTCTACCTCATGCATGTAGAGGATCCACATGTTGGTGATACGTTATCCATTATTGCTTGTGGATAGGTCCGTTGTATGCATCATAAGCTTTTTGTTCTTTCGTATGGGTAAGTTATGCTGCATGAGGATCTTCTAGTGCTACTCACATGCATTCACATTTGACGTAGTCACTTTATATTTTGTTTGTGGACAACATATTGGATATATAATGAGTCTCCTACAGTAGCTCGTAGGGGTTTACATTTGATGACAGACTTTTGTATCTTTTCATAGATGACACTTTGTATATGTGACAGGTCTCCTACAGTAATTCATAGGAGTTCGCATTTGCACCAACCTCTTCATACACATTGATTGATAGGTTGATTTATTCATTTGCATATCTCCCCATTATTGCTTAAGGATGAGAGCATCACATACACTATAAAATTTATGTCATCAACTCCTAATCTCATAGGTGATCATGCTTGCGTAATTGATATGGATGCTACACACCAGTCATCATCATCTATAGGTGACTTATGAAGTTTCAAGGGCTCCACATGCTTTCTTGTAACCAAGTCATTCATTTTTTTTAGTTCTTTCATCTACAAGTGAATCATGTTGGCAATTACAGGCTTCTTGATGCTTATGTGTAAGTTGAAGATTCTTTGTTGTAACATTGGACAGATCGTTCCACCACAAATTCTTTGTTCATGCTTCTGAGAATAGTTCATAGTCTACGTGATAATTTTATTCATTAATGCTTGTATTTTGACCAGTATGATGGTCTTTAACGTTCATTTAAAGCTCTTTATGTTGTTCTTTGACACTCATTTGTGTGATTAAGACCCTCCAGCATTTTCAGTTTCAATGTAATTGTACAGCTATCATTTTGAGATCCAGTTCACTGTTTAGTGTTAGGTGACATGCTCCCTTAGGTTCATTTTTGTTCGAGTCCATAGTCGAAACTCCTTGTGATTTTGTTGATTCAAGTTCTCTGTGGTTCAACTCAAATCTTTGTTTGAGTTCAAATGTTCAAGTTTTGTTCAGTTGATATTCAAATCAAGTTCAAGTTCTTGTTATTATATTCAAGTTTAAGTTCACTTTGTTTGATCTGAATTTGTAAGTTCAAGTTCTTTGCATTCAATTTGGTCCAGGTCCCTCGTATGCTCTAGTCCTTGTCATTTGATTCAAATCAAGTTCATTATAATTTGTTTGAGTTTGAGTTGCATAGAGTTTATTTTCAAGTTTTTTATATTTATTCAAGTCAAGTTCTCATTTCAAATAGATTCAAATTTCAATTAGTCACTTTCTAAAGCATGTCCTCTGTAATTAATTTTTGCAAGTTTAAGTCCCAATTCCTTATATCTTCAGTCCAGATTTCGGTAGCCTCCCGGTGTCTCCCCCATTTAGGGGAAAAAACCAAGAGGCAGCCTTCCCCTACACGCTACATGAGCGCTTCAGGTAAATGTCGGGTGCACCGCTGCGGCATTTTCTTCAATCCCCACTACGCTACATAAGCGCTTAGGGGTCTCTAACCACCTGCTGAAAAGAGAATATAATTGTTTCCCCGCATATAGGTACTTATTTTTGTCTCACTCATACTACAAGAGCGCTCTGGCGATTACCCATCTCGTCGCAAGCGCCGCATTGGTTTCCCTCCCCCCGTGCTACGTGAGCGCGTAGGGAGATCCACCGACTCGCCGTTAGTGTCGAGGATGGGATTTGGAACTGAACAAAGGGATCCCCTTCTCCCCTATTCTTCTTCTTTTTTTTTCTTCTGACGAATAATTAATTATAATTAATAAAGCTTAATTATAATTAAAAAATTAATTTTAACTAAAACACTTAATTATAAATAAAAATGATTAATTATCATTATTGATAATTAATTATCATTATTGATAATTAATTATCATTATTGATAATTAATTATAAATAATATCAACTAATTATAAAATTATAAATTTCTGGTGGGATGATGTAGATTACATTTTGGCTTTCACTAATCCGATTTATGACATGTTGAGAGAGGTTGACACAGATAAATCATACCTATGGTTTAAAATTGCGCAATATGAGGCTCGCCTTGAGGCCCGCCTTTGCGCAATTCTAGTAAAAAACGCCTCGATGCTTACGCATTGAGTTTTTTTTATGAGGCTTGCGCCTCAACTTGGTTGAGGCCCGCCTCGTCTCACTGGCATGAGGCTTATGCCTCATGCTATTTATATTAAAACTTACATAAATCTTGAAGTAAATACCCGACATTGGACTTTATAGGAGAGGAGGAAGGGGAGAGAGCAGTTCATCATAATGATAATTCAAATGAAGAACCCCTTAGTGATAACAGTGCTGATGACTTTTGAGTTCTTATGTGATATGTCATTGCTATTTATTTTTGGAAATTTGAATTATATGTTAATGAAAAGAATACTGAAATTTGGTAAAGATAGAATTTTGAGTTGAACTATATTTCATATTGTCTTATTATTGAGATATTTTGATTTCACTTCATATCTTATGCTTTTTTATGTTTTATATTATTCACTCATTAGTATATAAAAAATTTATCATTTTATATATACGCAATCTTTTGATTTTGAGGCTTACGCCTCAAAACGCCTTAAGACTTACGCCTCGCCTCATGAATGAAAAACGCCTCAATACCTGAATACGCAGTTTTAAACATTGCTAGGTACTACTCTGTATTTTTTTGGTATTTGCTCGGTATTTGCTCTCAGCGCAGTGGAAATCCTCGCCCATCTCAACCTCTCATCCTCCGCCTCCCCTTCTAACCTCCAACGCCTCCTCTCCAGCCACAACGTCTTTGCCGAACACCACGATGGCGTCGATCGCCGCTACAGCCTCACCGAGATCGGACGAACCCTAGTCGCCGATGACGATGAGTCCAACGGAGGCGTATCGTACGCACCGTACATGCTGCAGCACCACCAGGACGCGCTGGTGCGGGCCTGGCCGTTGCTGCACGAGGCGGTCCTGGATCCGGACGGGCCGGAACCGTTCTCGCGGGCCAACGGCGGCGTGCCGGCGTTTCATGGTGAGTTACTGTAAATATCGAGCAAATACCGTGTAGTACCTAGCAATACCGAGCAAATACCGAGTAGTACCTAGCAATACCGAGCAAATACCGAGCAGAGCAAATACCGTAGTACCTAGCAATACCGAGCAAATACCGAGCATATTCGTTCCGGGTCGGGTCGTCGGGCCGCGCGGTAAAGAGTAAGAGCACGTGGCGATATATTATAGGCTACTTGATGTATCTCTATTTCAGTTAACCTGAGGCAATAAAAATTCCACGACTAGCGAGCTCCCGTTGGCGCTTCCATCAAATGTCGTGACTTCCAATCCCACAAGAAGGGAACATCGTCGGGAGAGGGAAATCGAACAACCACGAAGAGGTCGCAGAAGCGTGCGATAGGGAGAACATTATCTTCACAACGGTGAGCTCCCGTCATTGCTTCTGATCAAACAGTTGTAGCTTCCGGTTGGGCAGGAAAAGGGAAGATCGTCTAAGGAGCGAAGTTGAACAACAACGATGGATTCAAAGAAGTTCATAAGGGGAGGAAGGAAGAATAGAGGAAGAGAGAGGCCGGAGACCTCATTTCGTTGGCTTTTAATGATGAGGCTAGGGCATGAGCCGTGCTCATGGGAGGAATGTCGAAGACGTGCGGAGGACTACGCAGAATGTCTGAGCCGCATGATCTGCTCAATTTCGTAGGATTTTCAACGTACATAGGTCGTGCGAGTCGGCGCCAGGTACAACATTTGAGCTTTTTTTTGTTATTCGAAAAAGGTCAGCAGAGGCTGATTTGGAGGACATTAATTTGGAAATATTTCTTGATTGAAGTGGGAAGATTTGGGGGATGATTTGAGGGTTGATTTGGGTGAGAAATAATTAACGAAATAGGGCATATTTGGGAGCAAATTGGCGGAGGGCTGTTTGGGTATTTGTCATTTATTGTATACTTTAAGTAGGGGATTTTTCCTAGGGTTAGGGGTATGTGTTTTTTTGCTAAAATTAGATCGTTTCTTAGGGTTTTTGGACTCTAGCCGGCGGCTATAGATTTGGGAGAGCCGGATCTTCCTCTACAATTGAAGATCCACTTGTAATTTGTCTTTTCTTTCATAAAACTTTCAATAAAAAAATATTTTTGTATGTTCTATTTCTTATTTTCTTGTATTTGATTTTCTGAAATTTCTGAAATCAGATTTCAGCCAGACTTTTCCTAAATTTCTGCAAGCACTTCCTATCACAATGATAAAATTACTTTAGTGCATTATGTAAGAAAATTGGATTTCTCATCCCATTAAAAATGCGAGTTTGAAATGTGGTAGCTTAGCTCTGTTTCTTCATAGAAGTTAAAGGAGCACAGCTGAACATCTAACTATAATCTGCCATCTTGTTTGGGGAAATCATGGCCACTTTCGTGAAAGCATTTCCATGAATTATTGTAAGTTGCTTAATTTTTGTCAGAGAGGTGCAATTCTTTAGTCTAATTGACTTTTGTTTTGAGTTTAATACATTGCTAGGATGGAATTATTGCAATATATCTGTAATGATGATGTTTCATGTAACACTTGTGATGGTTTTATTAATTGGTAGCTTACTCTTTATTCTTATCATTTCAGATCATAGTTTGCTGTAATCACATGTCTTACCAAGATGAGATTAGCCAAGTTCTTATACATGAACTTATTCATGCCTATGATGACTGTCGTGCAAAGAACATGGATTGGAAAAATTGCGCTCATCATGCTTGCACTGAGGTAATCCAAAACTTCTTGATATTTCATAATAATTATCAAAACAATTGCTTCCTTGAACTTCAATTTTACATGCAAATCATTCAAGCATTATGTGTTGGCATATGCGTTCTTATCTTGCCAATTCTCAAAGCTCTGCTATTATGAACTGCCTAAACAATATTCTTGATAGATCAGGGCTAACCATCTAAGTGGAGATTGCCATTATAAACGTGAATTGCTAAGAGGGTTCATGAAAATGCGAGGACATGAACAAGTAAGCTCTTTTTTTTTTCTATGTTCTCAGACTTACAGCGCATACTAAAAATGAACTTGAATCCATTTTATTCTCCAATGAAATTTTATAAAAACTCCCTTGCCTGCTAACTTCTCCTCCTCCCTTTTGATCAGAATACAATTTGCCTTTTCTAATTAGCATTTCTAATTGCATTAGATTTTCTAAGATTGATTTGAATGTTTGGCCATCTGAAGGAATGTGTAAAAAGGAGAGCTCTCAAGTCGGTTAAAAATAACCCATACTGCTCTGAAGCTGCTGCCATGGATGCCATTGAAACTGTCTGGGATATTTGCTATAATGACACTTCCCCTTTTGAAAGAGCCCCTTGAATGCATTTTCTTTCTGCAATGAAGAAAGTAAGAGCTTCTGTTATTAGGTTCAGTTAGAAGAAAATGATTTTTATTAAATTAGCCTAAGTCCTTACCCTATACTCAAATGATGGAAATGTAGAATGGAGACATACTCATTTTTTGGTGCCTGGCATGACCAGCCATTGGGTGGCCCTCTAAGAGGGGAAATTATTGCTTCAGGTCACCGGACAAAGCTTACGTTCGGTATTCACAGTACTGAGCTCGGTACTATGAAGTACTCGGTACTGAGCAGTGCTCGGTACTACTTGGCACTGCTCAGTGCTGTGCTCCAGTAATGTCTTGAGATTATGATAATTTTTCTTCCAATGCTTATGTCGGTTATGATTGTGGCATCTTGTTCATTTATATTTCTGTTGGGTACCTGAGGAATTAATTATTGGCCTTGGTTGCCATAACTGCAACTAAGAATGCTTGAAGGTAGTCAGTGATTCCTAATGGCCAAGTTGGTTGAAGTGATAAGAAGGTTGGGACCCTTATATGGGTTGTTATGATGGTTCTTGCATCTGGTTTTCTCGAAAGCTAAGCCTTTGGTCGGTGAAAGTGCGTTGGGCATAGACTTGGAGCAACTATAAGGCTTCGTTTGGGACGGCTTTCTTAATGCTTCTTAAAGTAGCTTTTTAGTATAAAAATTTTAATTTTTTTACTAGAAAGTTGAAGCCTAAGTCACCTTTCGTCTGTTAAAATATGATTTGATAGCTTTTTCTTTGCTTTAGAGAGCTTGAGGATTAAGTTTTGAGGCTTCTTGTCCAACTCTTTGTATGAGAAGCTTGCAACAAAGTATGACATCCTTGAAGTTATTAGGAGGTGACATTGTTTTAATGGTGTTTGATAATATATGAAGGGCCATCATAGCATTGAACCCATTGAGATGCTCCAGCGGGTCAGCTCTAATTGATGAACTTTGAGCTTCTATGGCAGTGGCTCCTCAGAGATCTCTATGATAAATGGTGTGATTAAAGGCGAGGAAATAATTTGGTTCCAATTGCATATTGGGATAGGGGTGTAAATAAGTCGAGTGGGGTATCTACCTAATTGAGCTAAGCTAGTTTAACTCTTTATAAGCTCGAGCTCTCGAGCTCCAGCGCGACTTGAGCTCATTTATTAAGCTCGCACCCTGGTTGTTAAAAAAGCTAGTCTCGAGCTCGGCTTGACTGCACGATCTCATTTTCAAAGCGACTCGATTGTTGAGCTCTATTAATTAGTTTAAAATTAAAATTTTCAAATTTTCTTAGAATTTTTATTTTTAATATAGAATTAATTTTAAAAAGTTAAAATATATTATATAATATTAATTTCAATTAATTTTTAAAATGACTCAATAAGCTTATAGGCCGAATTAGATCGAGCTCGTTTAATATATAGGCTCAAGCTCTCAATTAAGCTCAATTGATAAACTCATTAACAAGTTGAGCTTAAGCCCACTTACACCCTTATTTTGGGCCTTAACATTCCTGAGACAGTACGCATTACATATCCTTGCGTATTTTTTTGAAGGTAATGAATGCTTTGACCCTTTGATTAATCAATTTTAATTTGAGTATATCTTCAATCTTGACCACAATTTTGATCAATATATAATAACAAGATTTTTTACTTTTTGTTCTATGTTCCCCTTCCCCATATTGTTAAACATTTAGGCTTAGAAACTTAGAAATCATATTTTAAAAATGTTTAATTTCTTTAAAATTTTTCATTTGATTCTATTTAATTAAGGACTAACATAAATTTTAGATTTTAAAAACCTTTTCAAATATTTTTTCTTAAATGATAATTTTATTTTTACACTAATTTTATACTACAATAATATCATCAAGCCTTTGTCCCACTATATGATGTTAGCTATATAAATTATTTTTCTCTATTTCCTCCATTTCCTTTTTCCTATTTCTTCTTTATGGTGTAAGAAGCTATAGCAATAATGTTTGTTTCTCCAAGTAGACGATTCATGTTGATATAGATTGTTTGGAAATGAATAGTTGGTATATTGAAATTTATATTTGTTATGATTCATGTCATGTGATTCGAAGTTTTATGTATAGCTTTTGAAAAATTATGAGTCATGTTATTCTTTTTTTTTAAAAAATATATATGTATGCAAAGTGTTTGTGTTATTGTTTGTTAAGAGGTGGTACAAGTTCTTTTGTTTGATTCAAAGCAAAAGATGTTTGTATGTTTGGAAATCATATTTGAAGATGCATGTGTTGTTTGAATTCTCACTAATCAAGAGCAAGTTGGAATGTTTGATTATGAATACCCATGCTTCATCCTCGCACATAGTTTTCATCTTTTAAATAGCTATGCTTGAAGACTTTGATTAAACATTTGTAAATGTATTTGATATGAGGGTTTCATGTTGCTTTTCCTTCTCGTAATTGTGATGTTGGATACAATTCATTTGCTAAATCTCATCATGATCCAATCATCTGAATGTATACTATAGAGTATGATTTCTATATATTTTAGAATAAAATCTCAAACATGTTTTGCTCGCCGATTTTCATAGTCCTTCTATTGGTGAATTATTTATCATGATATGAATCAATGTGGCAATGAAAGTTTCTTAGTTTTTTTTTTGTAGTTAATGATTGACTCGAATGTTGAGACAATATGTTGAATGTCAAGGGTTCGATTACTATTAAAACTCTAATTAAATCTCAAATTAAATCAAATTAATTAAGGAAATAATCAACTTAATAATAACGAGGTGGTTACCTGATAACCTGATCCTACGAGGCTATTAATTTAGCCTCAAGGAGGATGAAATAGATCTCATGGCCTTGATTTAATAAGAGTAATCATCACATAACTTAAATAATTAAATCTCAAATTAAATCAAATTAATTAGGGAAATAATCACTCCCTAATTAATTATATAATTGAGCCATTGAAGTCTTCCAAATCAAGGCTGGTTTGGAGCCATCAAAGTCTTCCAAATCAAAGCTGATTTGAATTTAGAAAGAATTCCAAATCAATAATCTTTCCCTCATGTTTCACTTCAGAAAGTGGAAGATGACAAATCAGGCTCCAATATCTAAATGACTACACTCAGATGGTCAACGCCTCTTAAGTGAGAACTTTTATTTGGTCCGGTCACCTGACGTAGCTCTACGTTCGGATGCCAGTAAAATAGTGCCACGTGTTCTCACCATTTACCACGTGGCCCGACAACCCCGACCCGGAACAGAGACGGGATTGCTATGTTCGCGTGTTGCTAGGTATTGCTCGGTATTGGTCGATTTTGCTAGGCAATAACGAGGAATACCATTCTGTGAAGAGCAATACCGAGCGATACCGAGTAATACCGAGCAATACTGAGTTTTTCTCGGTATTGCTCGGTATTTCTCGGTATTAGTCTTCACAGAGCAATATTTTCATTATTGCTAAGCAATACCTAGCAATACCGAGCAATACCTAACAATACCGAGCAATACCTAGAGAAATACCGAGCAATACGCGAACATAGCAATCCCGGGTCAAGTCGTCGGGCCGCGCGGTATTGAGTAAGACCACGTGGCGACATGTTATTGGCGTCCGAACGTAGTTACGCCAGGTCACCTGACCAAATAATTGTTCCTTAAGTGGGGTCCAATCAAGTATGAGTCAGAAGATTCCCAGGGTGGGTGACTCTTCTAGGTCATCCGAGGACTAGTCACCCACCCCAGGAGGTTTCTGAGGTGGGTGACTCTTCTAGGTCAGCTGAGAATTGGTATAAGTTTCATGCTCGACACATAGAACACTTTTTCAACATTTCAAATGCCGAAGATGTTGATTCATGTTTCTCTTTTACCAGTTGAACTTAAATTATTACCTTCCATGTGCTATGTTCTGCTAATGGCGCTCACATGAGACAAAACATTATGAAAATAACATCGCAAAAAAAGAGACTGAGAAGCCTGTCTGCCCGCTTATTATAAACTCTGAAGCTAATAGAATCTTCTTCCTTGTAAATATCCGAATATTTAAGACCTAGCATGCTCAGAGACACAAGAGAGACTCTTCTTGCTAGACCAAACCTTCCTTTTGACTAAATGTACATGAACTTTGAAGCTTCGACGTGGAATTCCTCTAGTTCTAAAGCTTAGCCAGCTCTGACAAAGAGGGAGGAGTCGGTGGCAAAACTGCTATGGGGTGTCTTAAAATGGAAGCTTGGATGATTATTGTTTTGCTTGCATTAGGCTTTTCTTCTCTTGATGATCATCAGATTCTTGCAGGTAATAAAAATTTCTTTTTACTGTTTTTGCTTCAGATGTATATATTAAGTTACCTGTAAGTTATTATTTGAAGTATATTTTGGTTGCAGAGGCAAAATTATGGGTGCGAGATCTGAAGCAGAGTCCGAAGAGGAATCAGAATATAGGGAGAAAAGAAACGAAGGCATGGTGGTGGTCAGGAGATTATTCTTGTGTGAAGAAGAGGAGACCAGTACATAATGGCCTGGACCCATGATTATTTGGATAAGTTCTCTATGAGATGGAAGGAATTTTGAATAGCAGAAGAGAATGCTGATTTACTCTCTTGTTATTTAAGTTAGTATTACTGTTTTTTTTTTTCTTCAGTTTCTGAATTTTCATGGCAGTATATTCAGTTAGCTTTTCTGAGGGGTTTGAAATAGTTATTCAAATCAACAGTAGACATGTTGAGGTTCATTTTGTAGCTTGAATCTGGCACAGTGTTTGTTTAGTGATATATGTTCCAGGAGATGATGCTGAAGGGAGAAATTATTTTGTGCGGTCACCGAATGCTATTCGGAGGCGAATCAAGGCGTGTCAAATCACTTTTTAGTAGTGTACCGCTATTGTGTGCTGCTGTGTATCGGGTGACATGGCGCATTTTAATTCATCTCCGGATGGTGACCGCACAGAATAATTTCTCTGCTGAAGGCTAGAGGGATGTTTTGAATTTTAGTACCTATTATGTTATCTTATTATTTTACTTGCTTCATATATGACTATATGGGAAAAGGATATAATTGTGAATTGGTTATATATTTTTTTTTCTAAAAGATCAAAATAATCTCCTACTATCAATTTGGTCACTTGACTCTTTAAATATTGATTAAACTAATTCTTTTGTGAATTAGTTGCTATTTAATCATTATTTTTTCGCTACTTTTAAAAAACTTTTGTGCTAAAAAATTATTATAGAAAGTAATAAGAAAATGCCTAAATTCTATGATCCTACGGTGAGATGCGACAATCATTATATTGAAGCAA